GTGGTATTCTGTACTCCACTCGTGTTTTGGGTTTTTTATTTTTTCGGAGCCAAAATTATAATTAGCTTGAACTTCTCTTTTTTTTCTGTCTCTATTATTTAGCTTTACATCACAGTTCAGCTTATGATGGTTAACTGGCTTGTTATGTAACTTGTAAACTTAAATAATTAGCTTTAAAAGCAGCTTTATTTGGTTTTGTAATGTGAGAGAATGATGGAACTATTTCATAGTCAAAAACAAGCTGTATTTAGTCTGCATGTTTTCATTTTCATCTCATTCTGATTCTACTGAAATCTAGTAACGTTTTTTATATAACAATTCCATGCATCTTAATAATCAAGTCCCAATCTGTGATCACATCAAATGTTTTCAAAACTGCTATTTGCCCTTTTCCAAGAAACAGGAAAGCAAGAATTGTTCAAAAGTTTTACAATGTAACACAAATATCTAAATATATACAGCATTGCAGTCTGAGTTAAATATTTTCAGATTAACAAGGTCATAATAAAGCAAGGCATACATGCTTTTACACAATTTAGGCTCCAAAATAAATTACACTGCATAAAACATTTTCCACTTGTTGAAACGGTGACCAACTCCAGATATTTCTTTACCCGCTTCTCTGTTCTGAGTCACGAGGATCTCCAGCAGTCACTGTGAGAGCCGTGTACAGCCCTGGACAGGTCCTGAGTCCATCACAGGGACACACAGACAAACACATCCACACTCAAATCTATTTTAAAACAAACATTTTACATTTTGAAAGTATGACAACAAATATGAGGTAAAAGTGAGATGAGTTTTGGTCGTTTTACTGCATATAGTTTCCTTCTCCTGAGCCCCACTGAGTCCATTAAACCCAGTCATGCCAGTGGTTCAGAGGTCAGATCTTCTCTTTTTTGTTGGTTTTTCCTCTTCTTCGGATGGCTTCATGTTCTCCTCTGGCTCCTTGGACTTTTTCATCAGATCAAAACGTAAAAAAACATCACAAAGCCTTTTGCTATAAAACCAGCAGATGCTTAAATAACTGCAGATCCTGCAATTTTACCATCAAAATACAAATCTACTAAACTGGTCCAGAACTCATTGTCTACAAAAAAGATTGGAAATCCACAGCTGCTAGTTCCTGTGGGGTTTGTGTCTGGACTCCTGAAGTTTTTTCCCACAGTTCATAGCTAACGTGGAGATGGCGAACGAGGACAGGATCATGATGGAGGTCCCCACAAACTGAGACGAAGCCCCTCTGGGAGCCACTCGCAGGGCCCTCCTGGGGAAAGCATCCCTGTCGAAGGCAGTGTTGGCACTCAGCGTCTGGACTGCAGACTCCATGGTTAGACTTAAATCCAAAACTGGTACCAGGAGGTCCAGGTGTGCTGCAGGCTCAGCAGGAGGTGTCTGGGACCTGAGGATTTGGYTCTGTTATGTCCTGTCTGAGTCCTCTCGTACATCCCTTTATAACCTTTCCAGGCCGCTCCTCTTATCCCTCTAAGAAGGCTGGTTTCCTCCTGCGTCAATGAGATTAAAAATAGTTTGGCTACGCCTAAAGATGATGATCTGTCTCAGCTTAAGGCTGAATAACGTAATGCCGTTAGATCACCCCGTCATTGTTCCCAAAGTTATTTAGAGCTGAGAAACTTGGCTCTGAGAGGTTTGCAACAACTAAAATAGGAAAGACAGATTGCTGAAATTCTGTCATCAAACATAGTTAATTCCCAGCTTGGCAATTAGGGAACATATCTGTTACACAAAATAACAAGTGAAATCTATCAGGAACATACACTGCAAAAAATGTCCACCTAACCAAGTTTTAAAATCTTATATCCAGACAAAAAGTCTTTTTGATCTTGTTTTGAGACTGATTTACTAAACAAGAACTGATTGTGTAAGAATAATAATCTAGTTTTCTGAATGTGTAAGATTATTTGTCTTGTTAGTCTGAAAATTTGACTCAATTAATTCAAAATCTGCCAATGGAGTAAAAAAATTTTACTTGGTAAGATTCTTAAAATACTTGATTTGACTCAATTTTTCTTATTTCAAGAATCTTACCTAATTTCCCTCTGGGATCAATAAAGTATTTTTGAATTGAATTGAATTGAATTACCAAGTAAAATTTTCTTATTCCGTTGGCAGAAATTTTTCACTTAATTTGAGTCAAATTTTCAGACTAACAAGACAAATAATCTTACACATTCTGAAAACAAGATTATTATTCTTACACAATCAGTTCTTGTTTAGTAAATCAGTCTCAAAACAAGATCAAAAAGACTTTTTGGCTGGATATAAGATTTTAAATCTTGGTAAGATGGACAGTTTTTGCAGTGTAGGAACTTGTGAAGGTAACTCTAATAGTTGAACTTTTGCAGTTTATTTATTTTTTTTACCAAATGATCACATAGATAGCATCCAGCAAGAACAAATGCAAGCTCAGCACTTTATGAAGTTACAGCTTTAAAGTMTACAGCAAAAGAATAGAAGTGGTTCAAATGATGAGATTTTTWAAMTTATTTTCAATTTGAATGTCTTCAAAACTCATTTTGTTAATTCTGTATTTCACCTATCTCTGTGATGGATACAGAGTTATTTGGTTATCTTTCTTTGACAGTGAACATAAAAAGAATTAGTTTAAAACACAGAAACCATTGAAAATTTATTGTTTTAACATTTCGGCCACCTAAAGTTTAAGAAACATGTCTCTAATCTATGTAATACTACACAGGATATGTTGTTTTTGAGTGTTGCTCTTACAAAGAAACTCAAYATTTTAAGTTGAGATTGGTTTAAGGATTTTAAAGGATTGTCTAGTTTCTACTATTTCGTTAAAAAATAAAATAGCTAAAAGTTGAGACAATGAAACCAATCAAAGCTGTTCAARTTGTACTTTTCCACCACTGGTTCCATGGTTCTCTCAGCATTTCCTTGATGTGACCTGGTCAGACGAGGGAGGAGGTTTCTAATCCATTTAGTTGTTACACACAGTCCCAGTTTCACTTAAGGACCACTGATTGGATTGTACCTGTTCTTTTCCAACACAAGGACTTTATATCAATGGGGGAAGTTTTGGAGGCCAGACCAGGTTGCACATCAGATTGTTAATCAGGCAGTAAGATTAGGTTGCTCATTCACCAGCAACATGAATGAGGTGTTTTAGTAATTTTTTTTTTCAATCAGAACAACCACTGCTCCATGTGATGGGTGGCACTTTCTTCTTTRAAGCAACTGGCTTCAAATGAAAAATCTAAGATTCAACACAGGCAGCAGGATTCATGTGTAG